ACATGGCCCAAATAAAAAATTTAAATAACATTTTCTGCAGTTTTCATTGGTTTAGCCCAAAATGACATGTCTTCCGAATATTTTGAAAGTAACGAAAAGATTTTCTCTTTATCGAGGCTTCGGGAATCTTGCGGGTTAAGTCATATTGGGACAAATAACGCAAGTTTGTGAAAAGTTTCTGTATCTTCACAAACGCAGAGATTACGGAAATTTTGGTTTAGTTTGACTTTTTAAAAAGGAACCTATTTACGAAGTACCAACCTAGTTGTCATCAACTGAATCGCTTTAAAACGTTCCTTGTGGCGTGACTCTCCCATGTGAAATCATAGGCACCAAGGAAGGAACGTGGAGAAACAACATGTTTAAAACTAGGAGCTCAACTGTGATGTAAGGCTTTAAATTGTCGCCATTCCTATGGTTGGATCAGCCACAAAGTATGTCTGTCATCTGCCGTTACGAAATTGCTGAATTCAGAATATGCAAGGTCTCATAGCGCCGAATAGGTAGGCAACAACTTGCTCGTTGTGCTTGCGTGTATTGCGGGTTGGCCTACCCCCTTTCTCGCAGGCGCCCACGCCCGCAGGGGGAAAAGAAGCTGACGTGTGGGAGCGCTTCTAACTGCGTAAATCCATCCCAAAGCTGATGTGGCTGGCCTTAAGCCAAAGTTGACTGGTTTTCGCGTGCAAACAGCTGTATACCTTTTAGCTGTACATTTTCATTAATGTCAACCAAAATCAGTTAAACTCAGCATTTATCAGTTTTACTTCGAGCTGACTGAAAGATAAAGGAAAGCTGAATCAGTTAAGATCAGGAACATATCAGCACCCTAAACCATGCTAATTGTGAACAGGAATGCTCTGAAATATACTAAAAGGTCGTCAGTCCTGATCAGGTAAAGTGAGTTACCAAATTAGTAGCTCTCCCATGTTTAAGGGTTTTATAGAGCATATATTTTAGTTTGCATTTTGAATCATGATGATAGTCTTCTCTGTAAGTTTGACTTTTCCACGAGTTTTTTTCGTCGAGTTTAAAGTGTCCATCATAACTTGGGTGAAAAGGTTTTTGACAAGTGTATAAGTTGTGAAGAACGAGTTCTGCTGATCTTAAAAGTAATGAAGAATTTAAAAGTACCCTCCTGCCCACACTTGCGCCTCTCATATGGCATATTATTACTATTCAAGAGAAAAAAATGAGACCTCTTAGAGATTTGCCTTTTTTTCATTACTCAGCAGCTGTGAATAAATTATTTAAGCCTGCCTCGTGAGAGGCTGAGGCCGGGCCGCCTCAGTAGTGTTGAGCCGAACGGTATTCTGCTCATGTGGTATGAGGAGGGGAGCGCTGAGTCCAGACCCGCAGGCCACCCTGCCCCTGCCGCCTGCCTGCCGCCCTGCCAAGGACGTCAAGCTGGATCATAAATTGATGTTGGGTTCGGCGCGTTTCGCTGGCCGGGGATCGTTTACTCCCCCCCACTCTCCGAACTGTACGGCACGAGTGTGCAGTCGTGCAGTCAGTTATGCAGGCTGTGGCTGTGGATAGGGCGCCCGGGGCGAGCGGAACTGAGGTACCCGACGAGGAGACTGTTATCTGCGCAAATACGCTGAGAAAGCACAGAGCTTGTGCTGGCTGGAGCTGAGGTGGAAGGCGGGGAAGGGACAAAGAGCGAGAGAGAGCGAGCGTGGGAGACTGTGTTTGTTGGCCCCGCTGCGGCTGAAACTTTGCGTGCTCCACCGCTTGTGTGCTGCCGTCAACTCATGTTTTTATATAGAGTCCCTGAATTGACTTTCGAGCGGAAACAACATTGTCGTTGCGGCTGCGCTTGTTAGCGAGCTCCGCGACTGTAGGATCCACCGCCCCGTAACCGCGCTAGAAACACACATTAAACGCCACAAAAACAACTACGGTTATTTAGGTGAGTGAAACTTCGTGAAATGAAATAGTGGTTCGCTTGCATTGTGTAAACTACGTGTGGTAGGGTAGGCAAAGCTTTGCAAATCTGTCTCTCTCTCTTGCTCCCTCAAAATATTTACATCAGAGTCTTACTAACACAACACTTTGAGCTGAGAGATTGGGTTGTGACAGCAGAACTTTGGGTGGGGGCTGTCCTCTTTTAATTTGGCTATTTTCTAATAAAGTTCAAACAGGTCTTCAAATTAGTTTGTTTGTTGAGAATTGTTTTTAATTAATTGATGTGTGTTTATATTTAGTGTCAGTGTTGTGTTCTTAGCATATAAACAAATAGTGACTGCTGTGTATTTTTTAAACCGTCTTGAGGTGGTGTGATTCTAGAAAAATGTGACCGCATTGCATTCCCACCGAACTGAACGTCGTAACATGCTCATTAGTCTTTCTTTTTGAAGTGAACAACTTCGTGTGAGGGACATGCGTATTCCCACAGCACTATGGCCTGTAGTGAGTCGCGTACTCACCCTTGATGATGGCGTCACCCACGAATAGCTTGCCCGTCTCGTCGGCGGCCTGGCCCTTGAAGATCCTGGAGATGAGTATCGGCAGCTTGTGCTCCGAGCCGCCTTTGATGGAGAGTCCCAGCCCACCCACCTTCTGCCGCGTCACGGACACCATCCGCTCCTGCAGGATGGAATCATGGTTAGCGAACAATCGACCGAAAGACCACACAGAAACAGCCTCCTAACAAGTAAAGTTTTACACAATTTGTAAAGTTTTAGGAACAAATTTGTATCTGGTCTGGTTGTACGCAAAAACGTTCCCAATTAAGGGACGAAATTGTTCCTTGTTCCTTTGCTTTTAGAGTGTGGCTTTTCTTAAGATTTTGGTCGGCACACATTGCCGAGGACAATAATACAATGCAAATTTACTTGTGACGAGAATCGTGTTTTCTGGGTGCAGAGCCAGAGGGGAGGCGGAGTCACTTGAGTCACGATTCCAATACGGGAGAGGAGACCCGGCGCGGCGGCGCGTGCAGCGTGCGTATTAAATCATCGGCAAGGCTGTCTCTCGCGAAGGGGGAGGGGGGGGATAATGTCGTTTTGAAAAAAACGGGTCTCGGCCTATGAGCCCCCTTTGGGGGACCCCTTCCAAAGTGTGCAGTTAATATCCATTAAAAATTGACAAAGTGTTCGCACCCATCTCCCTACGCTCTACCCTACACTCCCACACCCCCAACACACCCCCCTCAAAGTTCCCAGCTCTCACCGCGCAGCGTCCGCAGCGTCCACTCATAAAACAAACGATCCAGCTGTGCCCGAGCACACGCGTGCGTGAATTTTTCATATATTTTCTTGAAACGTGATCGAGCCATGCTGCTCATCTGTATTCGCCTGGCCCTCCCACCCGTTCTCTACCACCCCCTCACCTCCTTACGAAAGCAGTGGTCTCAGCTAAATTAATCAGCTGCAGGAAGGTGTTTCATCATCAGCCAGACCACGGCGCACTGGGAACATCAATGCAACGGCACTGTCAAACAAAGCTGTTAGCAATCACTTTTGCAGTCTGAATAAAGACAGCCAGAGGAAGGGGCGGGGGTATTGCAAGGCAAACAAACAGGCATGCGTAAATTAGACTGCAAGGAGGTTCCGAGCGTTCCAAGTCCAAGTTCTGAGGTACGGCCTGTAATGTGGGCCGGGAGGCGTGTTCGAGGCGAACCTTCTGGTGTCGAGGCATTCCTGGGTACGGAATCTGGAATGTGTGATTGGCCGACGGGTTAACGGAGAGAGGAGTGGGGGCAGGACGAGGCCAGGGGCAGTAGGGTCCACCACCACCAGCTCCCTGGGACACCAACAGGATCACAATGCTGGTTGTTCTTTCGTGTCCTGAAGTGTCGCATCTGGAATGGGGATGAGTCTCGAAAGAGGCCGGGGGACTTGGGACAGACGGCTCCAAGACGGATCCCTCTAGTTGTTCCCAGGAAGGGGACAGGGAGAATCGGATGGGAGGAACCACGGAGAACGAAAGGGGGTGGGGGAAGATAGTCTCGGTAAAATATCGAGCGTCACAACGAGTAGAGCCGTCGTTATGGGCCATAGCCCCCGGGAGTAGGGCGTCTCTCGTTGTTTTGAAGCGCTTAACAACTTGTACCCGCTCTCCGTGCAGCTGAGCTGAGCTACGCCGACAGCTGCGGAGCCCGGCCTGAGGCACCTAGCACCCCCCCCCCTTTCCTCTCCCTCGTTTATGTTCTGCCCCCTTTTTGGAGGGAAGGAGGGAGGGCAGCTGGAAGCCTCTCATTAGGAACGCTTCTGCTGTCCAAAGTCTTCCACGCTCAGAGCATCGACCCTGAAGAGCACCTGGGTGCGGAAGAGGGGAGTGGGGAAATGTGTAAAACTAATTTGCTATTCATTCATCGCATCATCCCTCCTCCTGTTGTCCTGCTTCGCCCAAAACCCCACTTTCGACCATCAGCAGAAACAAAAAAAACCTGTCACGACGAGCAGGGTAGTACTCACCGTCGTTCTCTTGGCACATGGCCGTCGACGTCGACAAAGGGTGTCCACCCCCAACTCCCCCACCCCATACTCCCCGGGTGTTACGGGGCCCCTACTGTCGTGATGTTTAAAATGCCTTTGGGAGGTTCTTAAGAAAGTCATACGCCTTTATAGAGTTCCTTTGTTCAAGAAAAAAAGGAAGAGGAAGTGTACTTGGGGAGACAAATGTGTCATTCGAGTGGACATTTTGTACGCATTAGGTTGTGGTGAAAACCTGGGGGGCAGTTCCAAGCGTCACTTACAGACGTTCGTACGCAAAAATCGCGACTTTTTTCTGGTTTTGAAAGGGAAGATCTGGACTAATCGAATTGAACTAAGATGGTTCTTGAAGTACTTTTTAAGCCCTTTCCAATGGCATTCGAGCAGACTCTGTGCGATGAGTCGTTTAGATTTTATCCTTTGGCAAAAAGGCCGTGACTGACGGACATAAAACGTAAGTGGGTTTTGACATGGTGTTAGTCTCTCTTAAAACTCAGCGAATTTAGTGGGGTTAAAAATTCGACGAGGGCAGCTTCTTGAGACCAAGTCATGCAGCTATCTGTCTATATACAGTACTTCGCTAGATTCGCCCCCGTTCCTGTGTTATAGAAGAAAAACAAGCGTCACTGACGGACGCGGACAGCGTCACTGACGGACACGTACGAATGGGTTATTCGCCGACTTTGACTAGCCATAACTCCTAAACGGTTACACACGTGGGGCTCTGCAAATAGTCACATAGTAGGCAAGGACACCCTTAATATGGTCCAAAAGAGAGCGGTTTTCTAGCTCTCCCCCCGACCCGTGAATGGGGTTTAGTTTAAACTGGGCACACTTTCCGTGCATTCTAAAATGCAAGGAGGGGGAGGGGGCTTGCAAGTGCTAAGTATTGTTCTCGAGAGGGAAGGCCTCAATCAGAGCTCGAAAACGAACTCAAGTAGAAACATTTTTGCCATTGTTTTTGCGGATTACGAAAATATGGACCTTTGACAACACGGAGCAATTTTCGCCACGTCTCTAGCACCAATTTGAAATATCGATCACCACTTCCGCTTTTTTCTGGAATTGCCCTGGGATCACAAAAGCGACCCCGGATAAAGTGACATTAAGCTATACTAAGACAACTCGCAAAAACCTTACAAAGATGTCAAGCTGATCTGTGCGCTACTCAAAGCATAAAAGAGTTTATGTGGTAAATGCGGGGACAGCAACTGAGGTTCACCAGTAAACAACGGGGAGGTAAGGAGAGAAAGAGACACAGCGTCACGAGCGGCGTGACTGAGAGCAAAACGGGACACAGAAGACGGGACATGAATACTTGATTCCGTCGGTCAAAAGGAATCCTCTGTCCCAGAGGAGCGAGTCTAGACTCATTATAAACGGGTGCAAACACTCCGGCGACTGTCATGGCGCAGAGAAAAGAGAGACCGGGGGCAAACAGAGGACAGCAGTGTCGCATTGTGTGAAGTATACAGAAGGAAAAGAAAAATAGAGACAGAGACGAAGAAGAAAGAGATCTTACCGAAGCGTCCAGAGGTGGCGGCGATCTGCCCTTCTTCCCCTTTGTCGGACAGAGACAGGTACAGAAAGAAGAAAGAGAGAGAGAGAGAAGACAGGCGGGTAAAGAAGTAGAGCAGCGGTAGTTAGGATAGGACAGCATACACCAGAAAGAGGTAGGGGTTCAAATATTGGAGGAAACAGAGAACGGTGATTTAACCACTATGGGGTCTGTTTACCGGAGGCTCTTGGTGCTTGGTGTCCGCCGTGTCCTGAGGGTCCTTGGAGTCCTCGGGGAGCCGCCTGGGGGCGCCCTGTGTGCAGACAGACTGTGTCCGAGAGAGAGAGAGAGAGAGAGAGAGAGAGAGAGAGAGAGAGAGACGAGGCAAAGGCGCTTTATATCGTCTTGGAAGAAACGGTGCACGTGTGCGTGTGTGTGAGATGGAGTGAGAGGGAGTTGGTGTGTGTCTGGTGGTGTGGCAGTCCCGTGTGTGGCTGGGTGTCTGAGGAGGGTTTCGCAGAATTGCCAACTCACTTTGACCAAACTTCGTTTGACGCGATCCCAGCGGAGCAGATTTGCCCACATCCCCCCCGCGCCTGCTTCTCCGGCTCCGCCTCGCTTCACGGAGACAGGGAGGCACGCGCGTGTGACGTGTGTGACGTGAGCCGAGGCGCGGGTCCTCCGCGGGGCGTTGAGCGGTGTGTAGTGTATGTAAATGCAGTGCGCGCGCGGGTGAGCGCGGTCTCACTCACCCTGGAGTCCAGCGGCGCGG